AAAAAAAAAAAAAAAAAAAAAAAAAAAAAAAAAAAATTAGTTTATTTATTTTTGGCTGCGTTGGGTCTTCGTTACTGTTTGTGGACTCTGTCTAGTTGTGGTGAGCGGGGGCTACTCTTTATTGTGGCCCGTGGGCTTCTCATTGCAGTGGCTTCTCTTGTCGCGGAGCACAGGCTCTAGGCACGCGGGCTTCTGTAGTTGTGGTGCGTGGGCTCAGTACTTGTGGCGCTCGGGCGCTAGAGTGCAGGCTCAGTAGTTGTGGCGCACGGGCTTAGATGCTCTGTGGCATGTGGGATCTTCCTGGACCAGGGCTCGAACCCGTGTCCCCTGCATTGGCAGGCGGATTCTTAACCACTGCGCCATCAGTGAAGTCTGGAAACATAGCATTCTTGATGGAGATATGTTTACTAATTCGTCGCAATATTGTTCTGCTACATACAGAAGCACCACTTGAAGCTATTCACTAGAGTAGTCAGCATGTCCTAGGGTACTGAAATAGAAAGCATCACAGGAGCTTGTGGAGGGACTTCCCTGGTGGTCCAGTGGTTAAGACTTTGTGCTTCCAGTGAAGGGGGTGCAGGTTCAATCCCCGGTCAGGGAACTAAGATCCCACATGCTGCATGGCTAGGAAAAAAAAAACACAAAGAAACACTTGACTGATAAGTGTTTCCAGTTTTTTTTTTTCTGGTTTTGAGGAGTATCACAAAAGTGTGTCTCAAGAGCAACTCTGATGATGTTTTTCACATATACTAATCATCATCCCCTTGGAGCCTCAATAAATGGTATAGGAATTTCTCCTTGGGTCAACATTGTCCAAGTTCACATCCTCATATCTCTGGGTCTGTTGACTAAACTGTTCATTCCACAGTTTTCATACCCTGTATGTGTCATTGTTTATCCGACCTCAATAAATACTATTTTGAAACATCTTTTTGTGTGTGTGTGTGTGTGTGTGTGTGTGTGTGTGTTTAAAATAATTTATTTTATTTTATTTTTGGCTGCATTGGGTCTTCGTTGCTGCGCACGGGCTTTCTCTAGTTGAGGCAAGTGGGGGCTACTCTTCATTGTGGTGTGCAGGCTTCTCATTGCAGTGGCTTCTCTTGTTGCAGAGCAGTGGCTTCTCCTGTTGCAGAGCACTGGCTCTAGGTGCGCGGGCTTCAGTAGTTGTGGTTCACGGACTTAGTTGCTCCTCGGCATGTGGGATCTTCCTGGACCAGGTCTCGAACCCATGTCCCCTTCATCGGCAGGTGGGTTCTTAACCACTGTGCCAACAGGGAAGCCCGTTTTGAAGCGTCTTAATGAGAGAGCTTTTGAAGTTGAATGATGCCTTCAATTAAGTACTGTTTTTTCTTTTTTTTAAGTAAATTTTTACTTATTTATTGATTTTTGTCTGCGTTTGGTCTTCGTTGCTGCTTGCAGGCTTTCTCTAGTTGCAGCGAGGGGGCTACTTTCGTTGTGGTCCATGGGCTTCTCATTGTGGTGGCTTCTCGTTGCGGAGCACGGGCTCTAGGCACACGGGCTTCAGTAGTTGTGGCACATGGGCTCAGTAGTTGTGGCTCGTGGGCTTAGTTGCTCTGCGGCATGTGGGATCTTCCCAGACCAGGGATCAAACCCGTGTCCCCTGCATTGGGAAGCAGATTCTTAACGACTGCGCCACCAGGGAAGTCCCTCTATGCATTATAAATGAACTTGACTTTTATTTATTTAGTCAGCAGGTTCATATTTTTATGATATTCTTAGTGTTCTTGTTTTTTTTTTTTGTAATGAGTGGGTGGTTGAATTGGGGAATGGCCCTTCATTGTGAAATTGGTGACCAGACTCTTACAGTTCTTCATATATTTTCAGTATTAACCCATTATCACATACATGATTTGCACATATTTTCTACCCCTTCTGCAGATTGTCTTTTCACTGTACTGAGTGTGATTTTTTGCACAATAGTTTGTAATTTTGATGTAGTCCAATTTATCTGTTTTTACTTCCATTTGCTGTGCTTTTGCAGTTGTATGTTCTCAATCATTGCTGTATCCAGTGCCATTAAGATTTTTGCCTATGTTTTCTTCTAGGAGTTTTATGCCTTTAGGTTGTATGTTTAGATCTTTGTTCTATTTTTTAAAATTATTTATTTATTTATTTATTTGGCTGTGTTGGGTCTTAGTTGCAGCATGTGGTATCTTTGTTGTGTCATGTGGGATCTTTCGTTGTGGCACACAGGCTTCTCTCTAGATGTGGCACACGGGCTCAGTAGTTGCAGCGCGTGGAGATAGTTGCCCCACGACATGTGGGATCTTAGTTCCCCGACCAGGGATCGAACCCACATCCCCTGCTTTGGAAGGTGGATTCTTAACCACTGGACCACCAGGGAAGTCCCTAGATCTTTGTTGTATTTTGAGTTAATTTTACGTGGGTTCATGCAGCAGTCCAACTACATTCTTTTACATGTGGGTATCTGATTTTCTCAAAATCTTTTTTTCAAGAGGCTGCTTTTCCCTCAATGAGGAATCTTGACACCCTTGTGGCACATCATTTGACTGTATATGCAAGAGTTTATTTCTGACGTCTTTTCCACTGTTGTTTCTGTCTGTCTTTATATTGGTACCATACTCTTACTATTGGTTTTGCTTTTTAATAAATTTTGAAATAAGGAAGTATGAGACCTTCAACTTTGTTCTTTTCAAGGTTGTTT